ATTCAAAGGCGTAGCCTTGGAGGTATGCTTTCCGATCAAGTCCTCGGGGTCGGAGATCTCATGCCATGTCTTTAGCTTGGAGGAAAGGACCCTGCCTATGTCCGCAGTGATGCCGACGTTGATTATACTACCGCTGAGCTCGTAGACGGTGCGATGAACCAAGAATTCACCTACATATACTAACGATTTCAAGTAGGCGCGTTCTTTAACTCGGGTCAGAGCTGCTGCGCAGTTGAGGTTCGTGATCATCTATACAAGAAGACTGTGTCTCACTTTTTTAACGGTGGCAGCGCATCTACGTCCATGATTCTATCTATGACAAGTTTGTATCAGCATACGTTGATATTGTTAAGGTTGGTATCACCGATTCTATTTGCACGTGTATTCATTGACCATTTGTAGAAATACAAACTTGGAGATCCTACCGAGCCCGGAACAAACCTCGGTCCGGTTGTGTCGCTCGCAAGTGCCGAGCGGATCAGGAAGCAAGTCGATGATGCCGGTAGGTTGTTACCGGTGGGCTTCAGGACTCAACTGAGTGCCCGAAAACAGTCAAGGCCGGCGCAACGCCCCTCGTGCCCGAAGATTTGTTCCCCGTTGCAAAGCCGTGAGTGCGCATATGCTGCAATCAAATATTAGGTTAATCCGATGGCTTCTTTCAGGGGAACAACATACGTCGCCCCTCAAGTCCTGGTCAACGTTGATCACTGTGAGTGTCGATCGTCAATCGGTTGGCGAAAAGCACGGGTTTATGCCCTTTTTAGCTATGGATGTCATGAAGGAGGAAACCTTTGGGCCGGTGGTGGGGATCATGCGTGTCTCATCAGACGAGGCGGCGCTTGAGCTTATGAACGACTCTCCCTACGGACTGACCGCATCCGTCTGGACGACGACCAAGCCTGAATCGCAAGAGGCCTTCTTGCGATTCGTGGACGAGTTAGAGACAGGCACGGTCTTCCTAAATCGGTGCGATTATCTGGACCCCGCTCTAGCCTGGACTGGAGTGAAAGACAGCGGTCGTGGCATCAGCTTGAGCAAGTTCGGTAAGTCATCTTTGGCCGAGGAAGGAGTTTGCTTGACGCTGATTGGCTGGCGGTGAATAGGATACGATCAGCTGACCCGAGCCAAATCTGTACACATGAAGATTGTCACCGCATGACGAGATAAGACATTCGCCAAACAAAGTATTTTACCCGAAATTGTATCCTTTGATAGCTGCGGGCAGGCTTTTGCTCTCCGCAGGCTCCATCCTGTGCGAATCGGGCTTCCCTCGGTCCCACAAAGAGTTACGCATAGCCACTATTGGTGTCTCCAACCTAACCTCTGACTAAATTAAGACAACAGCTAATTTTGTGATGACATGTGTCTAAATGCATGCATAGCCCAGTGCTTCCCGTGTAGGAAATCAAGGGCTCTTGTCAACAGCTCCAAGCGCGCTGGACCCATAATAAGGAATGCTGTGCCGAGACGCCCATTCAATCGTTATGAGGTCTAAGATGTCAGGGCAGTCCTGGTCCTTGCCCGAGTGCCTGGCTATATAAGAGTTCTGCCTCTCGTAACTTGTTCCGTAAACTACCTCTCTCTCACCTCACTCCCACACGATGAAACCATCGAGAGTGTTCCTAACTGGAATTCTATTGGCTTCTACTGCCGTAGCCCTCTCAACCCCCGAGCGATGGCGATTTGATCTCGAGGCACGAGATGGTCTGGTGAGTGCCGCGTACGGAAAACGTTGTCGGTACCGATAATTGACCTTTTGTCCAGATAAACAAACGCCAGGATCCTCAACCTACGACCGGTCCCGCTGCGGCTTCGGACCCCGCCGCCACTACCGGTGACCCCGCTGCCACCAGCGCTCCCGCGCCTACGAGCACAGATGCCGCGCCGACATCTGAACCTGCACCTACATCAGACCCTGCGACCTCGACATCTGCTCCCCCTACCACGTCCCAAGCACCCACCTCTCCACCGCCAAACCCTTCCCAGACGGGATCGAGCTCATCCGTAGGATTGCTGTTCACCCAAACGACACCAAGCTCTCGGCCAGTTGTCACGATCACCCCCTCAGCCCAGGCGGACAACAGCGATTCTAGCGTTCCGTTCGTCGACTCGAAATATCATCAATTGATCATCGCACTCGGTAGCGTTTCCGGAGCGCTGCTCATCGCGCTCATTGTGACCGCAGTCGTCGCGTTCCGCGCTCGAGCAGATAATGATCTCTTGCACGACCGACTATCACGATATGAACAGGGCTTCGATCTCCCTCAGCGTGGCAAGGGCTCTCCGGGCAGCCAGGGTGGTTATGGGCGTCTCTCGCTACACGACCCAGACGACATGCGGGGTTCCCGTCGTTCGTTGAGCGAGACTCAGCTTATGAAGTCGACACCAGCCGGACGACGTGTGAGTGGAGCACCGATGGGTTCGGGCACGCCTCCCGGCAATCGACGTGTCACCTTTGGCGGTTCGGACAGCATGCACTCCAACGCTGCCTCGGGCAGTTCGGACCACTCCCCACTCCTTGCTGGCGTCTCTACAAACAAGGGTGAAGCTCCGCTGTTCCCGGACACCCACGCTTCTACGAGCTTCCCTCCCCCACCCGAGCCTCACCGGGTGAACTCGTCAGACAGTGCAGTCCGACGGCTGCCTACGGCCCCGAGGGCTTCAAACAGTAGTCACGAGAGCTATACCGATCCGTTTGCTGGCGGACGCTGAGTCGGACTCGCTCTTGAAATTCGTGCTTGATGATCACTCTGTCTTGTATCAAATCTTGTTCATCTATTTATTACAGTTCTTTTGTGCGAGGTATGACTTTACGTATTCTCTATAGGCTCTAACGGAGCCTCCATGTCTTCACGGCCTGATAAGCCCCACTTCAATTGATTTAAAAAGAGTTTCCGCAGTATACGTGGCTGGACGTTAGGCAAGACGCGTCGAGCGTGTTGTATAGATATGGTTAGGCCTAATGGGCATACCTATCATGGAAATGCCGAACGTTGGGGAGATGAATTGTGGTGTCTGAAGTACTGGATGAATACGCTACTATATGCGCCTAGATTAGTACATGAGCTTGACAATGGAGCTTTGGAGCGTGGTAGGGTGCTCGAGAAGGGGCATAGAACCGAATTTAAATCCGCAACGATATTAATCGCATATACTGTTGGGAGGCTGGCGTTGGTGAGTAAAAAGTAAAATTTTCGTCATCTTAGCATGCCGTATCACATATTCATCGAAGCCGAAGCCTTTCGTGTGGGTTGTCATATTTTGTTGTGAGCTACGGTAATGATATGCGTGAATGATTGGGCTAGGCCATCAGCCCACCGACGCATATAACCAAGTCTTGAAACGGTATCTGGAGCCCACTTCGACGGTGCTTAAACCGTGAGTTGTGGTTCCTTATTGCAGGAAAAAGGTCGAAAATAAAAGGGCAAGCCAACCTACAAAACGGGACGAACCCAAATTTTACAGGGTGCGAGCTGATTCTGGACTCGCGGACATTGGGCATTGGGCTTGGAGTGTCGCGAAGTACTTGAAATCTCGATCTTTGCAACATCCAGCACGGCCCCCCCCCCCCCCTCTCTCTAGCCTATGTTCTGTTATCTCAACAATAAAAATGGCGGTCGGTGCCTCGGGCGCGGCGCCTATGATTGACAGGCACTCGGGCCGACTCCATCCGAAGCGAGCGCACGTTCAGAGTTGCTCGCTTTGTATGGATTTGTCCTGGGTGCCTGTCGACCATAGGCGTCGCGCCCAAGGCGCTGACCGCCTTTTTTGTTGTTAGGATGACGGAACATGGGCAGAGAGCGG